AAAATATTAAGGAAAAAGAAAAACTTCCATTGGAAAATAATAACATAATACTGAGGGGTTGAGCACCTCATAAGTAACCCTTAGATCCTACTTTTAATTACTCTTAGAGCTAAAATATACAAAATTAATATAGGACAAGAAAAACTTCAACTGAAAAATCATAATTTAATATTGAGGGTTTTTGCATTCGATCAATAACGATTAGACCGACTTACAAATTATCTCCTGGGCATAATCCTACTTTAAATGATAATTAGAGCTATGATACAATAAACTATTGTGAGACAATAAAAATTTCCACCGAAAAGTAATAATTTAATATTGAGGGTTTTTGCATTCGATCGATAACGATTAGACCGACTTACAAATTATCTCCTGGGCATAATCCTACTTTAAATGATAATTAGAGTTATGATACAATAAACTATTGTGGGACAATAAAAATTTCCACTGAAAAGTAATAATTTAATATTGAGGGGATTCGCATCCTACATTTGATCCTCAGACCTGCTGACAAATTATCTGAGAGCCATAATCCTACTTTAAATGACTCTTAGAGCTGAGTCACAAAAAAATTAATTGTGAGACAAGAAAACCTTCCTACTGAAAATATTGCTAAGTTTCGTATCATGAAAATAACCCTTAGACCTCCTGACAAATTATTTCATAGACATTATCCTACTTAAAATGTCTCTTAGTTTGGTACAAAAAATAATTGTGGGTTATTCTAGTGCTAGAGAAATGCGAAGCTTAGATTAGCATAGGAAAAAATTAGAGGTGCGTGTCCAAACAGTCTTAGGACTGATAACTTTACGATGATGATGGAAGGGTTTTGCACCCTACAACTAACATTCTTCTAATCTTAATTATAGTGACTCATGGAGCTTAGATACCCAAGACAATTCTGGTAGAAGAAAATTCAAAATTTATGAATAACGGCTGCCAACTTTCCGGCTAAACTCTTCTACCATTATAGTTAAAAATGGTTCAAGTAAAATAAAANTGTGGGACAATAAAAATTTCCACTGAAAAGTAATAATTTAATATTGAGGGGATTCGCATCCTACATTTGATCCTCAGGCCTGCTGACAAATTATCTGAGAGTCATAATCCTACTTTAAATGACTCTTAGAGCTGAGTCACAAAAAAAATAATTGTGAGACAAGAAAACCTTCCAACTGAAAAGTAGTATGTTAATATTGCTAAGTTTCGTATCATGAAAATAACCCTCAGACCCGCTGACAAATTATTTCATAGACATTATCCTACTTAAGAGTTAAGTACAAAAAATAACTGTGGGTTGTTCTAGTGCTAGAGAAATGCGAAGATTAGATCAGCATAGGAAAAAATTGGAGTTACGTGTCCAAACAGTCTTAGTACTGATAACCTTACGATAATGATGGGAGAGTTTTGCACCCTACAACTAATATTCTTCTAATTTCAATTTGAGTGACTCATAGAGCTTAGGTACACAAGACAATTGTGGTAGAAGAAAATTCAAAATTTATGAATAACGGCTGCCAACTTTCCGGCGATACCCTTCTACCATTATAGTTAAAAATGGTTCAAGTAAAATAAAATTGTTTAAGCTTTAGAGCTGGTGCATTTCGTTAATGCCCGGGCATAAAATAACTCATGTGCATTTTGGGGAGACGTGTTCCGGTACCGTGTAGCTGTTCGTTCCGCTTAATATGAACGGTGACCCGAGCACTTTCCTGTGACCAGTCAATTAAATGGAATTGGTGGCTGCCATACATCAGCGAGAGGGGACCTCACACTTAGCCGTATATAAATAATGGATTGCAATCGTCGATTGCCCCGGTATTGTCGGGGTGAGGCGGCCCGGCGCGGCGTGCTTACGCACGAGCTGCCCGATGTTGGGGGTGCGTGGAAGGAGATCGAGTTCGAACAAATACAAACAGACGATAATAAGACGGAAGCTACGCATTTTTCAATCACGAAGAACGAGGGTGAAACGGCAGGTTCGTTCGAGAGATTCGATAACAAAAAAACAATGACTACGAAGAAACGTTTGTAATGAATAAACCATGAACATGATGAGTTATGGTTGAATTGGGTCTATAGAGTTTCAGGGAAAACTAATTCAACAATTGATATTTAAGTTTCATTAATTGCCAAATGCCATTGGTAATTCCTTACCTGATAAAGGGTCTCTTATATTGTCGTCCTACAGGAACTTTTACCCAGCTTCAAGGAATGTCGGAGTTATAGTGTGTAAAAAGTTAGAATTACACGTAAACTTTCGGAATTACATCCTTTTGTCTATGATCGAGTTACAACTTAAAACGTTTAGACCTTGTTATACCTCCAGTCGTCATAAACCTTGTAACACCGAACCTTCTTAAAGACGGAGTTACGGATTAAAAGCTGGTAGCGATTGGAAATATAACACGATCGAAACGTTGTAATTCAATCATAAATAAAGGCATGAAAGTTCTAAAAATTGTAGGAAACACATTTGAAAAATTTGATTAAAAACTATGTTAAAAATTAACAGTGAAATTAATTAATTTGTTTCATTTGTAATTTTTAACAACTTTACCAAATCAAATTTAGCAGATGTCTTATGAAATTAGTTAGTTTTACTAGGCAAAACTATCCATTTTCACACTGTAACATACAGAAACTGTCTCAAGCTTATTCCTACTTTGATGTCAGATGTCCTACATCTGATCTTGTTCCCTTAATCCTTCCTAAATTGTTAATTATAACAGCGACTGCCCAATGCCCACCATTCTCATAATATTTGTCAGTTTTGAGTTTCAGATGAAAAACTGTTTGTGTAAAAAGCTCGATACATTATCACTCTTGGTTATGATAATGTTGAGATACAACTTACAATAATTAATAGAAGGCAATTGAGTGAATTTCAATTTTTTTTACAACCAACAGAAAGACAATTTACCTCGCAGTGACTCATTTAAAAATGTATCTTTGCGACCATGCCGTTCTACTTACATCAGGCACTATTGCGTAGAACACCCTGTATATGCAAGAAACATTGACAATAGTATCAAAGTTAATATCGCCAAAATTAAACCAAAAATCTAATAATTAATATTATAAATAAAAGCTTGAGAAATAAATTAAACTTTTATTCATCATCTCCCTTTTAATCAACAATATACGAGATCTGCTACACCTATGAACCTAATAAATCATGATCATCATCAATCTTCATATTTATTGGCCAAAAATTGTCGTAAATGAAAATCTACTAATTTCGAGGACAACTTTGCCAGGACAAGACATTTACATCCATATATATGTACCTCAAGTATTTATCACAAGCTCTATTGTGATAATCTCCTATTAGTCATTTACCTTATCCATAAAAAATACATACAAAATACATAACATGTACAAATTTTAAGCACTTACCAAACACCTTCGAAACAAATTGTAGCAACATCCTGGCACCTAAAAACGCAATTTATAATTTTACTTGATTTAATTACTTATTATTTCATAGATAACAATTTTATTTGTACCAATTTTTATAAGAGGTTATAATTTTCAAGAAGTATGAGTTATAAAACAACAAAAATATCGAATCAGAGGGATTACTTATGTACCATAATATAAGAATACAACAGTCTAGCATACGGATTAATAGTAATTAATAATATAATTAAAGATACTGACCTATAGCATCTTTAATTTGTTGCTAAAACACTCATACGCCACCAACCGCGACAACAACCCGAACAAAGTGATCATAACCCATAAAACACCACACTCCGGTTATTGAATTAGTGTGCCTGATTCACAATCGTTTAGAAAAGAAAGATTTCTTGTGTACGATTATTTTTGTAAAATAACTAAGTATAATGAAATTTAGATTGATTAGAAGAATATTTTATATTAAAAATTTAATTTCCATCGATATTTCTAACGTTTAAGGATGACTTACATTTACTACAAAAAATGTGAACGAGCCTTAAGAAAAATATTTACTTCAACGTAAACAAAGTTCTATAGATACTATACGTAATATATGCGGCGGAAAATTTAAAAATAAAGCATTTTAAAGTAGAGAAGATAAAATATAAATGCTTCAAAGGTAAATAATTATATAAAGCCCTACAAGCTGTTGGTAATAATCATTACATTAAGTACTTACCTTCGTCGTTCAAGTAGAT